CGCGAATTCCTCGGGCAAAGACCATCCGGGCCCTCGTACTCCACCGTCAGTCTGCCCCTTGGCAAGAAATTCGGTCGAAAAAAATTAGAGGACAGTTTTATTAATTCGTCGAGCGGAGCGACGAAAAGCGTGAGAATGGATCATTCCGTCTCGACTGTATTCGACGACCGCGAAGGGTCGATAACTGGAGCGTGAAAATTCCAGCGTTAAAAGCACCTTGGGCTCCGGCTAATATCCGTCTCTCGGTCGCATGGTCGTCCCGACATTTTTCTTCGGTCAATTTGAACGCTGTCTACACGCGGGTCGGCCGTGAAAGCGTCACGCGCGAATCCCGACGAGACACACACATCCTGTCGCTTTTTGCCGCGTTTCACGGAGCTGTCGCCGAACAGATTCTGGCCCGGGGATCGAAAAATTCACCGTCCCGTCTGGCCTCGTTCGGTCTCGCGGATACGAAACTGGGAACCTAGACGCCGTTCCTGGTAGCTGTACGACTTCGACCAGGGTGGGGGGAACATATGGAATGCAGACATCGTAGCGCCAGAGAATTTGAATCGGTTAATACGAGACTTAATCTCCGATGGATCCAGACTAGCGTGATTTAGTCTTCGATTGAGTTGCACGGTAGAGTCGAGAAGTTCAGTAGTCTACTCTTGTTGCGATGCGAAGTGACGATCGGTTAGATTCAACCGTTCGGATGTGTCGCGTTTTTCAAGTACATTATTATTCAGATTAGAGGATGGAAGAAACGACGAGTTTTTAATATATGTGCTGCACCGATGAGTTTTTTATTTTACAAGATGTTAAATGTACGTTGTCGTTTATAGACTCTTTCTAAATTATATTTCTATTTCTATGTATATGATTAGCTGTTCCAAAAGTCCCAGGCTATAACCGTAGTCTGCTGGTGAAGTTAATTGCGAGGTTTACAATCGGCCCGCTTGCCTCGTACGCTCTATTGTTGCGACGAGGTGGACTGGTCATAAAACGCGTCTCTGGTTTCTTAAGCTTAAATTGTGTTATAGAAATGCAACGCTCAACATCTCTTGTAGTATACATAGTCTTTCTTCCTCGTGGATTCTGTTCATCGCGCCGAGGCTGGCGTCACTAACGACGGTCGAATAAATTCGAAGCGCCTCGAAGCGAGTCGGTGCTGTTCGCGCGCGCAGGGACGAAAATAAAGCTTCGTACGAATCGGCGGGCCGCTCGGAGTGCGACACCTTTGTTTTACCCGTTTTCTTTTGGACGGTGCACGGATTCCCGAGAAGTTTCGTCGCGCGACGGGATTACAGGTCCGGTCACGGTTGAACGACTCGATGCTCTAGTTAGTTAGTTAGTTAGTTAGTTACGTTATCATCCGGGAGAGGGGAATTTCGCTATTCCCTTCCGAGGCCCAGCTTGACTCAACGTCCTTAGCTACCGCATAATCCCGCAATTGGGACTACCGTGGGCGTTACTCGGGGAGCTATTTTTCCTGACTTTCCAATCGTCCGAACTTTTTAAGGCCCGGGCCTGGAGGTGGGGAAGTACTCGTGCGGGGGGCGAAGAGTCAGTAGGATCGTCCCATCCCTACCTGATTAATAAGCTATGGACGTTGGACGTTGAGGCAACCGATCCTTCGCGATGCTCTAGTTGCTCTGACCGTAGTTTGTCGGATAGTACAGTAAAGACTCGGTTAGTGCTGGATAAGAAATTCCTCATGAGAGTTTCTACTTTATCGCCACAATTGGGGAGGGGAGGTTATGAAACGTCCCATATAAATAATCTATTGCCCTCTCCCGTTTTTGATGCCAAGGATCAGGCTTCGAACAGACAATAAATTTGTGAGAGTAAAATGTACAAGTTTTCAAGCGGACACGAGGTTCAAACTCTCATGGAGTCTTTACTGTTGTAGCGTCTCAGCCGATTTCCGTTCATTGTTCACGGACCTATCCAGAGAATCATGATTCTAATTAGCCTTCCTGCGTCAGTAAAACGGTCCGAAGCTCGTTTTTTTCGAGAGTGGGACGTTCGAAGCTTTCGGATGCACGGAAAGCTTGTCATCTGCTCGGGGCTCGAGCTCCACAAGGCCGCTCGCTCGCTTGCTCGCGGCGACGAGCCTCGAAAACGATCGATCGGTTTCTCCTGAATCACGCAGGTGTCTGCCGCGAGCCACGAGGAATATTTCACCGTGCTCGTTCGCGCAGGATGAACGAAAGAGCGCCACTTAGGTGGGGGGTAATATACGTCGCCGAGGGCGGTAACTGTCCCCGTATATTATGTCCCGCGTGTCCACGGGGACGTGCATTCCAGCCGGGCTGTATCCACGGTAAACAATGTTCCGAGAGTCGTGCCTAAACGATTCCTCGTGTCTGCAGTTATTTTGGCAATTAATCGCCGTCCCCGACCCCGGTCGCCGCCGCCCCCGCTACACCCGCTGAAATATCGCGTTTCTTGTCCGCGTGCAAGTTTTCCATTCCCCCCTCTTCTGCTTACGGCTGGTTCTTCGTTCTCCCGCGACTCGATTTCCCCTTCCGTTCCCGTCGTGAATCCGCGCTCGAACTCCTTCGCGACCAAGACGAGAATGACGAAGGCTTTTAACGATCGTTCGCGTCTCTCCGTTGTCACGTACCCGCGCGAACTTTACCTCGTAGTCGGTTCCATTCCCACGGAAATCATCTATTTTTCACCTCCATCGGTACCCTTCACCACGGTGTATCGCTATCCTCCGATCTTGCTTTTCTTTTCTTTTGCCCTCGGAATTTTTTAAACAACGTCGACTCTATGTGATAAAGACACGACGAAGTTTATTACGGACTTCGAGAAGATATCGGGTCCGCGGCGCTTTACCCGCGAAACTTTCGCGGAAGTTCCCAGGAAATCGCTCCTGTTCGCGTGCGAAATGACGAATCGCAGACCTCCGGACGCGTATTTCGAGCGTGTATCTCTTTTCTGCGAACGCGATCTCATCCGAAAGAACGTCGTTTTTCTCGTTAACTCTTGCCCCTTCATTTCTCCCGTATTAAAGGTGAATTAAATAGACGGCCCGTGACGACACGAACATGAGATGTATATGAAAAATCTCCGTCTGCCTTCACGCGGGGCTAGAGGATATTACGATTGTTACGTTTTTCCTGCTGGCATCGTAAATCTTCCGTCGTTCTCCCACCACCCTCCCCGCCCGCTAACTTCTTCGGGGGGATTTTACAAGGCTCGGCTTGCCGTCTCGTTTACGCGCCCGGAGTTTTCCACGAACCCGATAAGGGGGTAGCATCTCGTGTTCTCGCGTTATTTCGCGATTCCAGCCTGTCCGTGAGAACTTTCATAACGCGCTGGGAGTACGTTGAACGAGCTTTGCCGGTGCTTCGAAGAATATTGTATCGAATTTAACAAGGGCAGAAAGCAAAGGGACGAGTAAATATTTTCTTTTTATTAAGCTCCTCGAACCTTTATGCGTTTGTTTAGCGTAACAAGTATAGAGTTACAAATACATCATATTTTACAGCTAAATGCATAGATTATTATGTTGGAGGAAAAAATAAATACAAATATAACTATATGCTGGTAATGGCATTATTGTACGGGAAGGATATCAATTTAGCGAACCTGTAGCACTTGTTTCATTTCCTTCGGTTAGTGGGTGCACAGGAATCAGCCATATTGGCGATCCCGTAATACCTTTCAGCGAGGAATTATTAAGAACTGTTGAACAAAAAAAATGATCTATCAGAGATTGGATGTATCTGTAGTCAGTCACAAAAATTTGCACACACCCTTTAAAACAAAACTTTTTAAAAATTGGATCTCGTGACTTGAGGTTGTTTTTGAAGTTAGAAAGATTAGTTTACCGAATGATGTTTAAACGAAATTTGGAAAAAGTTGCAATTGGTCGAAATCGCGAAGAAAATAGTAAAGGTCGCTTTTTACAATTTTTTTAACTGAAACTGTAATGAAAATTTAAGAAATACGTTTCCTAGATTTATGTTAGTTACAAACACGCTGAAATGTTTATCGAAATCGGTTAATGTTACTATGAGATGCAAACGGTTTACAACTTTAGTAAATCTAAAGATTCTTACAACTTTCGATGCCTGTCGCTCGTTTCTGTATCAACCGTTTTCAACAAAAGTTTCAGCACGTGAACAACTAAAATAAACCTTCAAGATATATTCATTAAATTTGCATTGCAGTCTCAGATAAAAAAAATTGCAAAAAGCGTCTTTTACTATTTTCTTCGCGATGTCGACCAATTGCAAATTTTTCAAATATTGTTTTGCTCATCATTTAGCAAACTAGTCCTTCTAACTTCGCAAACAAAAAAAGTCACTTGATTCAATTTGAAAAAAGTTGTTCTGTTTTGAAGGTTGTGCAAAGACATTTTAGCTGATTGTAGATACGTACTCTATCTTTCTACATAGTCGCTATCACGTTCACGATCTTAGCTTCTAGTCTTTACTCTAAATTCAGTCCAACACCGACGGTACACGGCGCTATCAATCTTACTTCAGAGACCGCGGCCCGCTACCTCTGCCAGCCGACGCCCAATAAAACGATACCAGCGATAAACCTTTCGAAGCCAATTAGGGGCTAATTGATTTTAACTGTAAATCTATGAGCCCGATTCCTTGGCCTTCGGCCGGTTCCACGGGATTGCGGTTAAGACGGTGCCGGGGACTTCTGCCAAGCGGGCAGTTGTTCCCGATAAATTTACGATGACTAAACTCCCCTTTCTTGCCGTACTCCTTCTCTTCTCTTTCTCGCGTTAACGACTCTCGATCGCGGCCCGCCATCTGTCTCCACGCGATGCTTGTCCCACGAAAATCCTCCCCCCTCCTTTTCATCATGTTTTGGTACGGAGGTGACGAATATTAATATTTACGCGACAATTGCCATATAAATCGAACAAATTCAAGATATTCGTTAAAATTCTTTACTTTCAGATACGTTTCTGGTTTTGTTCAAGCGAGATGTTCTGTTCATCGAGGACTTTTGTGAGGAATTTATTAACATCTCTTAGATTCTTTTTAAATCATGCGTAGGGTTTATTGCAATAAGCTAAAAGGCGTGCGATACATGTTTTTACTATCAGTATTGCGAAAAGGTGGTTTCTTCTTTGCTACTTCGAGAACATTGTCAATCTAGCGGTTCACGCGTGTGGTAACTTATGCAAAATAGGATTCTTCCGGTGTCCCTTAACTGCGAACAAGGAAACGGATATAAGAATACATAGGGGAGGACACTGGAAGCTTTCGGAATACACGATACTCACCACATCCTAGTAGCGGAACGCAGACTCTTCCCGTGGGGCAGTCGCTGTCCTTTTTGCAGGATTTATCCGCTTCCCGTTTGCGTCTGCTGTCCGGAATGTTCAAGGCTACGACCTCCGACTCGTCCTAGTGTTTCGGGGAAATTATTCAGCGTGAGACAACTTAATTCTACCAGGGCGGGTAGATCTATAGCCATTCCTGGGGAGTGGGGAGGAAGCAACGAAAAGAGGACTTAATGTTCTTGGAATAGCCAACTCTGCCACTCTGCGGTAGACTGTACGTTCGGAGCGTTTAAATTGTGTCTAGAACGCGTTCAAACAGCTCGAGCAATCGAAAAACCAGGTCGATATCTCATAGAAATGAATACGAGTCGATATTCTTGTACTCACTGAGTCTCCACTGCGATCTCCTAGGCGGATCACGTGGACCTCTGGTTCGTCCTGCGGACGGAGGACCAACGACGATTAGAACATGATCGCGATTTACCAGAAATGATTTTACAACGCGTTTGTTCGGTATGGCTAGCTCGTATCTCCGTACCTTGTCGTCCTTGATGATGCACCTGGTGGCCGAAACGGCGCACACGAACAGCAGAACGAGAAACAGTCGGTTCATCTTCGAAGCTCTCTGACCGGCGGATACTCTCGATCCAACGGCGGGGGACCGCTCTTTATACATGCGAAAGAACACGCGAAAAATCGCGCGTTATCTGTCCCCGTGAAACGACAACCATTAACGACGGAAAAAAAAATGAAGTTCCCAATTGCATCGTAGATTACGGCCCACGAGAACTTGTTCTTGTTTCCCTCCGTTAACGAGCGGCTCGCAGAATCGTTTCCGTAATTTTTCCGAGGTTCGAAAGCCTGTGGTCGTTTCATTTTCGCGGGTAGTCTTTATCTAAATTGGAAAAAAACAGAATGGGTCTCTAAAATGTCCACGGCTTTAGGTAGCAACGGCAATCGCACGTTGAGTTCGGTTTACGAGCTGTTGTCAGAAACGCTATGTGTACGCGAAATCCTGGAGCCTACAATTCCATTGATATCGTTGCGATTCGAAAGTTACGCTTGTCGGCTAGTCGATCAATGTGAAAAGGGTGTAGTTACGTTTCCCCGTGGGACACGCGAGCGTTATGGGGATCCTTTTCGCGGTGAAGCGTGCTAATTACCGGCGTCCATTAGCTGCGTGATCGTTTCAGGCCCGCTGATAACGACACGCAGTTAATTAAAAACACGCTGGACAACTAGCATCGTTTTTAACTGTAACGAGTACTTGGTCATCGTATCGGTCTTAGACATTGATTTAAACTCAATAACTAATCTCTGACTCCTCGCCTATCCGACAGTTTACAATTCTCGACTGAAGTACGTTAGAAAATTATTTTTAATTAAAAACACGTTGGGCGTCTACTATCGTTTTTAACTATAACGAGCGTACCACTTACAAGGGGAGCGACAGGTGTGATAATCACCTTTGGAACGATACTAGGTACAAGTTCTGGTACATATACATACAGTGTTGCAGAACAGTAATTAGTTTTCGTAGAATAGGTCTTCCTTTTTGAGATACTCTGTTTTAGATAGAAAAATATCTTTGCAGTACAAATACACAAAATTATAATACTTGTAGACGCGACAAATATTTAGAATGTATTATCGTAGGTGAATTAAAAATGTAGTTTTAGACCTAAAATTTGTATTGTAAAGAAGTTGTATACACCCTCACACCGGATTCGAACTCGATGTACCTCGATGGGATATGACATTCTTTAAGTAAATGAATGACAAGATGCGTATGAAACTTTATTACGAAAATGTAGGCCTATTCTACGAGAACCAATTAAGGTTTTATAACACTATATGTCTATTACAACTTGTACCTAGTGCCGTTTCAAAAACGATTATCGCACCTTGGCGCTCCCCTTGTTAGCCATCGTACTGTCTTCGGAATATTCTAATATTCTCCACAAGTATCTCTAAAGACATGGATAACGTGTTGGAGCCTTTTCACTCGACGACAAATCCCCGTCTCCTCGTCCATCCGAAGCATTACATTCTCGGCCGGATACGTTAGAAAATTATTACGAAACAAAACGGTCCATTCGAGTCTCCGCTTATCTGAAAGCTCTCGCATCCCCGGCAACACTTCACACACCCTCCCCCTCTGCCACCCCCAAGCACATCGTATCGACCGTAGGGCGTTTCAGCCCGGAATATAAAAATTGCTCGATGGCATTACGACGTTCCCGTTTTACGTCACTCTTTACGGCCGGATGTCTCTCCTGGAGCGGAATTAATTATGCATGCCCCGCAGCGGTGGTAGATCGATGGAGCGAGAGAGAGAGAGAGAGAGAGAGAGAGAGAGAGAGAGAGAGAGAGGTATAACGCCCGATACGGCGGAGTTTCGTGGCATTTTAGCGGCGCGTAATAGTCCTCGGGTATTGGAAACTCGGCTCCGTCCATTCGGAGACGACACGGTTCTGAGCCGCGTGTGAATATGGTCGGTCGATTCGCGCCGCGAAGAGACGAGGAAGGGTTGTAGCTGAGGATGGACGGGGTAGCGTTTGCATACCGAGAAACGACGGAGACGTCGAAGTTGCGGACGACTCGAAACTAGCCAGCCCTCCTGGACGGACACTCGACGTGACCGGAGGTCCTTTGTTCGCTTGATTACCGAACACCCGGGGAAACTAGTCATTAGCTCGGCAAATAGAGAACTATCCAAGGAGGGTACCTTCGGGCGCAGTCGCGAACTTCGAAGAGAAGGGACCTGGCGACGCGAATATCCGCGAGGCGCGCTGTTCCCTCGTTAACTAATTGACGGTCGTTAATTCGCTAACCCACTACCACCCTTCGATGTCCGCCCGACGTCGTTCCTTCGACCCGGTTGTAACAGCGGGCGAAGCAAAACCGCGCGCGATCGCGGTTTTCATCCGATCGTTCGTCTTTCTTGTCATCGAAACCGTCGACGCGCAAACCAGGCGAAGCTGTTGATTCCTTTGAGCCGGAACGGAGACAGATCGGGGTGCACAGTATTTAAAGCAACAAGAAGACACGGTGATTGGACACAATTCCACGGGGCCAGCCGGGAATCTAAAAGCGTCGCGGAACACCGACGAAAGACTCGGGCAAACGCGAGCTGGCCCGCGAGGATGCTGATCCAGCGAATAAAAAAGAAGAACACGTGGTCCTCGAGGTGTGGGAAGGGGGTGAGAAACGGGTGCCACGGAACAGGTCAAACGACGCTTAGCGATACACCTCGTAGCCGCGTTAAACGGTCGACTCGGTGTCGGACACGCGCGAAAATAAATGGGGAAAAGGAGAAGGCGTCGAATTCAGCAAGATCGTTCGTCAGCCGCTTATATTTAGACCGTGACTCCGGTCCCACCCGTGTACCCTCCGCGTCAACTGACGACTCCCCCTACCCCAGCCACCCCCTTTTTTTTCGCTCATTTCGTTCTATCCGCCCCGTGATTCTCGAGCGTTTGTTATACTTCGCTTCCGCCTGGCGATCCATCTTCCTCCCATCGCGGGCTGAACCTATTTTCTCGATATTAATGTCGCTACGGGATCCCGATCACAGAGACGATCGTGATAGGGTGGGGAGGGGGGCACTGTGTACGGAAGGTTAATAAGCTCTCGAGGCGCAGAAAGTGTACCCGGTTTGATTGATAGAATGGCGGGTGCTTGCTTGAAAATGGGTACCGAGATGGATGGAGGAACAGAGATCAGGACGAAGTGCGCAAGTTTACCTATTGTACGCTAATAATACTCCCTTCGCATGTATTCTTTGTCTATCAGCCGTGTACGCTATTCGAAATTGCTGTCGCGATTTTTATTCGCTATACTTATAACAGACTGCGGATATTTATGCAAAATAACATTTTATAATGTTATTCATAAAGGCAGTAATGAGGGTAGGAATCTCTTGGTACCCTTAAGTATCTTTTTGGATGAAGAATGAAAAAGAGAATTTTTTGCATCTGATGAAAGGTTTGTTTGTTATTGTATATCACAGAGCCCTATAGGCTATAAATGCATAAAGTCTGCAGTCTATTTATATAACTAAACTGCGGATGTTTATGCATTTATAGCGGCTCGTGGCTTGCAAAACAAAGGTTCTAGAGAGATTTAGTAGTATCTACGTGTTATTGTCAATACATTAAAACCCCTAGTATTAGAAAAAAAATTCTGTGCAATTCTGTGTCTTACATTCCCAAAATTGTAACTTTGCGTAAACATCCGCAGTCTACTCATAAATGATTTAGTTTAATTATTACGTTCATTTCACCTAAATAATCACGTTCTGATCGTTTAGATTTAGGTCAAGAATATTATAATTATGATACAGCATAAAATTTGGAAATCTATAAAGGATCGAGTGACTATATAAAATACCTAGAAGTTCCGCAAAGCTGTACAATCTGTGTACCAGTTTAGAGATTCGAACGATATTACTGCAAGCTCGCACGAAAAATGTCGGGAATAATCACGAGGGAGCGAGCAACTTCCAATATTCTCACCAGTCTCTCTCCTGTTGCTCTCAACAAGGACCATCGCCACCCGAATTGGATTACAATCGAATATCGTTGCAACGTCTACGAGAAGTCTCTCCCCGAAAAATAGGAATTCGCTTGGTCACGCTCGATCGGGCCGAAATTAATAATTCACGGGTACGCGAAACTTTAATCCTTGACGGTTGTGTGTGTGTTGTCTGCTCGATGGCGCGGCGGACCGAATCAAATAACTGGTCACAATTTCGATTGACGGTGTAATCCGATTCCGCAGGGCGGAGATTATAAGTTAAAATTTTACAGACTGATTACGGCCGACGGAAGTCACGAAATTATTTAATGTCGATGCCTCGTGAAAAGGGTGCTCCATGATCGCACCAGCGATGGTGGAAGGGGGGGAGGGTGAGATGGGAGGATGACGATACGCCGACTATCAATGATATTGATTTCGTTGAAAAGCGTGTGTGTACGAGGCCGGCACACGATTCGAATCGTGGGAAAGCAGCTTAATTGGTACGATTATCTGGCCAGTCAAAGAGATAACGACCAGCATTTCATGATGCACTTACGTAACGATTAAACCGCGTACATAGGCCACGGGGATACACGTTCGAGGCGCATCGTTAACGATGAAACTAATGCGGGACGGAGATTGGGCGGCACGGGCACGAATAGAATTCTCCCTCATCACGTTCCGAACGACCTGGCCTTCCTCGTGGTGGCTTCCTTCCATCTACGTGCGATATCTCGACTCTCTAATAAGGAAGTTGGCTGCTGGGTCCAGTCCGTTATCGATACATTGTGTTAAAGAGCAGGCACCCGTGATTGCCTTTAATCTGTATTACGTTATTAAATCGAATAAGCTGGGCCGCCACCGGTCCAGCCTTCTACCGGATTCCTCGCGGCTGGATCGGTAATTGATAACATTAAACGCTCTTCTTCCGCCTCGATGCGCGTAGAATAACGTCTTTTTGGATGATCGACGCGATCATCCAGAGCACCGTTACGGTACCTACCTACCCTTTTTCTCGCGTAGTTTGCAGCGGGTGTGGTAACCTGTTTAACGGCGCGAACAACGCTCCTCCTGCATAGGCAGTTGCTTCCAGGTGAAGCCGACGATAT